AGATGTAATGAAATGATAAATTGGAAGTCTGGATTATACACGAAAAATAAGCAATGAAGTCGATTGCTTTAGAAAATCAACAAATCGGCCCACTTCCTGAATGATAAGGATGACTGCAGAAATAGAATAGAATTGAGTAGAATAAAATAGAATAGAATAAAATAGCATAGAATAGAATAGTACCCGTCCTGACCGCCTGATAGGCCAAACAGTAAGTCCAATAACGGCCTCTCTCCGCTTTGATGGCGCTTTGATTGTGGACCTGACAGAGTTCCAGACAAATCTGGTACCATACCCTAGAATCCATTTCCCCCTGGCCACATATCCTCCTGTTATTTCCGCCGAAAAGGCTTATCACGAGCAGTTGACAGTATAAGAGATCACTAACTCCTGCTTCGAGCCCGCAAACCAAATGGTCAAGTGTGATCCCCGTCACGGAAAGTACATGGCATGTTGCTTCCTCTATAGCGGAGACGTCATCCCCAAGGATGTAAATGCCGCGATCGCAGTGATTAAGATGAAACGCAGTATTTAGTTTGTCGACTGGTGCCCAACTGGCTTCAAGGTCGGCATCAATTACCAGCCGCCTACAGTAGTGCCAGGTGGAGACTTGGCCAAGGTGCAACGTGCGGTCTGCATGTTGAGCAACACCACGGCGATCGCCGAGGCCTAGGCTCTGACGATTTTAATTATAGCTCTATAAAAGTCATTATTAGGCCACCGTCATAATACGCTGGATCTGTCAGGTTAAGGATCATATTGCTGAATTCCACTTCAGAGATGGTAGAAGGTTGATTTAATCTGATTGCCATATAGTAGCGTGTTCATAGTAGTCTTGTATTCTCACGGTCTGATGCGTGGACTATTTCCGGCCTTGGCACATCAAGTATCGTGAGTGCGGTCTTTCCTCACAAGACTATAGCAATACTAGTTTAGCTCCTAATCTCCTTAACTCGCACAAGGCGAGTCCAATTCGGCGACCCCACGGGGGCTGCCACGTCAAGACAAGGTTTGTTGTCGTGTGTGCGGTAGCCCTAAGATTCACATAAATCTGTGCATCGGTCTGGCGTTAGTGAAAATGGCACTAAATAGTGGAATTGTATGTGCGTATCGGTTATTACCATATAATCCCACGCAATTACCTCTTTTCCCGATGTCGGGAATCTTTCTTACGCCGCGGTCTTTAGATTACATGTCCCCTAATTTGATCCTTATTTGCTGGCGCCGTCTTTATCTATTAAGATGTTGGTACCTAAATCTAGGCAGGAATTAGTTCGCACAGTGCGAAGTTGCCGCCACCTCCGCACCTAAGCATTCTCCGGTCGAGCTAGTCAAACTCGAAAATTGAGTTCCCCGCGCAACTTTTCCGCTTTAGTTTCAACATAAAAATAAACGATAATTTCTAAAATACTTATTATCTGATTCCAACTATCCCATATGAGGACATAAATACGAATATATGTATATAACTTACCTCGTATAATTCTACGATGTAGAGGAACTGGCAGATAGGGGCAATCAGCAAGAGGGGCAGTAGATGTCTGAATGCGATTACGAAATGTTCGCAGGAGGGTTGGCCACCAAAAGTATCGTTGTCTATATCTTGTAGTCCACTTTGTTGGATATGGCATGGAGGATGGGGCTGGCATGTAGGCCATAAGTTCGCCACGCAGTTGGCTCTTTCTGGTAAGTGAATTTGAGGATACATTAGCATGAGTGGTCCCAGGTCCAACAGAAGTTGCTACCATTTCAGCCCCACCAGAGGCTGTTGAAGTAGGAGACTCTGTTCCACCAAGAAGAGATAGAGAGAGTAAAGCTGATTGGAAATTAGTGGGCAATAGTTTGTGCTCATTTTCGTACAAGTTAATGTTAATTTGAAAAAATATGTTCTTAGTTTAATGATCCTAAGAATGTTTGAACCTGCTTCACCTAGCCGAACTAAACGAGACGCAATGTGTGCATCTCCATTTCAGGGTCACCCAATGAGACTATTTTGGAGGAGACAATGGCTAGAAAATCCAGGCCTATTGAGCAGTCACAGAATGCACGCAGCATACATTTATAACAAATTAAAAGGACAAAGTGGCAATTAATAATAAAACAAGGGGCAAGGTCCTTCTAAATAGTCTAATGAAGAAGCAGTAGATGAAGATGAGTGCAAAGTGAGAATTTATATTGGGAAATGACTAGAAAGGTAAAAATGATAAGGAGAATATAAACAAAAGGCATTTGAAGAAGGACCATTTAGAAAAGATACCAGATTATATACAGAAATGCTAGGACACAATTCAAGAAACGAGATTATGCTGTTGATTCGCCCAGTATAAACGGTTTTATTTGAATAATAATGGTAGATAGATAGATAGCCATAGTTAAAGCAACACCAAAATACAGCATCAAATGCCTGATAGCACATCATACTTGTATGCTGTAGTTTTCATCCTGTTTCTGAAGCCGTTGAAGCTGGGAACACCATTTGCCCGAGATCACCTGGATAGATCATCACATGGCACAAATTATTAAATGTGTTTTTAAATCTGGAGTTGCTCAATTTAAAATAGCTAAGTCGATAATGCTGAGAGATAATCCGTATAGAGAAAATCCGTCCTGCAGATTATTGACTGTCCGGTGTCGACGGGCCTGGTTCTCCGGCATGTACGAGTATAACGGCTTGTCAGTGATGAATATGTCACTTAAAAGAAGGAAAATTAAGACATAACTGGAAATCTGCTTCTCGTCTGAATGTTTTTAAGTAACTGATCCGATTCTTAGAGTATCATTTGGAGTTATTCCTTATGCACTGATCTTGCCTAGTCATGTCACTTCTAGACAGATGGCACTTTATTACAAGGTTTTTCACCATTCGCATTTGAAAACTCAGGCTTCCACACTATCTCCCGTGGTATTTATTTCTACTGCATAATGTGATATAGCGGAATGATCTGATTGGCTTCATCAGAAGCCAAAGGAAGATAGTCATAACTTACGACTAGTTCTTTATGTTCTCACTGGCTTTATCAAAGACTGGATAGCAGTATTGCACGAGATTATGTGTGGCAT